ACCTGTGCCTTAATGAAACTTCAGACCACAGAACTAGAAAAGGTTATCCTGTCATTTCTACTAAATTGGCTGCTGGCTTATTTTTTTTTACAATACCTTTCTTTTGTGCTTGGATAATCCTGATCTGTCGCAGTCTATTCAGCTGCATTCTGTCTAATTTTTCCTTAATATAAACTCAAGTCAAACAGCTACCTCTTAGGGATGATGCTGCACTAATTTTTCTTTTTTTCAGGTTCTTTCTAGTGTCAAACGCTTTCTTGTCAGTAAGTTCTTTGAGATGACATTAGAATAATAATTACTGGTCCTTAATTAATTATCAGTCTTTAGTAATAATAAAAATAGTAATAACAAATATTACTCCTAAAGTCAAGGACTGTCTTGTTCTTAGGAACTGAGCATTATTTGATTGGGTAATCCTGTACAAGAGTGCTGTATGGCAAAATTTTGAAGTGCTGAACCCATTACGTAATGAATAAGCTGAGTAGGATTTAACCCTAGTGGACAGCCATAATATTTGAGACTTCAATTGTACTCCAAAAACAAAGTGTTTCCGCAGTTCACGTGCTAATCTCAGGACACTCGTTTCTGTGCTTTGCCTTCGCCTGTTCATAGAAACTCGTGTAAATCACTTGATCTCTTGACACCTTCCACTGTCTGTTATACATACTTTACTGCCCAACAGGAGCTTTGGAGTATAACGATGTCAAAGATAACTGGTTACTCAGTTACTGTAGTAATAGAAGCTGTGTATGTAACTAAGAGAGATTACTTCTTTCTTTTCCGGTAATTATTTTGAATAGCCTTTCATACATTAGCTTCCCAAACTAAGCATATGATAGAGCACATCATACTTCTGTAGCTGGATAGCTATTTCAGTTTTGGGTGCTTGTAACCAGGAACAGCAGCTTTGTGACAGTTTCAGGATGTAATGCCTCAAGATTTCACTTCAGTGTAAGTGTGATTGTCGCATTCCATTAATATTTGTTTGTGATAGATTAATCAACACGACAAAGCTTGAACCAAATACTGGGAAAACGTGATCTGTAAACACATTGAAGGAACTGAATAATTCAGCCTGCCCAAAAGCCAGGGAAATACTAGGTACATATTTTAATAATAATGATTGGTTTATTTCAGCCAGGAAAATGTAAGAAAAAAAATGTCATTCGAGTGTATCTTGTAGTTATCTTGTATTATTATTTCCTGTAAGCATAACTGAAGCTGATAGCCAAAGCTTATAATCTTTTACTTATTTTAAATGTAAAGAACAAGTTGCTTCAAGTCGATTACAGTCATCATTAAATATCAGTACCTGGTAAAATTATTTATATTTTTATCAGCACTAAGTGCCTTCTTTTGACTATATATTGAAAATGAGAAATAATCTCTCAAATGTTTTCTTAGCACACTGTAAATTTTGTTAAAACAATACAATGCAGATTTTATTTGTGAAAAATGCAACTTGTTGAGTGATTTATAGGGCTAACATCACTAAGCTCAGCAAATGCATTAGGTGCTGTGACTTCTTTTCAAGAAGCAAATAACACTTTATGTTATCAAATAGTCATAAAGCTTGCAATCATAAACCTATCTGGTGGTGTTAGCTAATCAGAATCATTCTTCCGTGGATAATATTTTCAGATAATGTTTTAGTAAATTGCGTGTTTTATTGCTTTTGTAACACAGTAACCATCCCTTCCTCTATGATTCACAAACAGGGCACAAGAACAAGTCCCTTAAGAATATGTAAATCTTTGAAGTGAAAAGATGTTGTCCTCTTCCACTATGTAAATTAATTTAAAAATTCAATTTCATTGTTAATGAATTGACTAAAAAGGAAGACTCTTAAATTAGGTAAAAAATGATGGTCAAGGTCAAAATTAGTACTCAAAGCTGTCTGCAACCCTGAAGACTCAAGACTTGCATTAACACTTCTGCTATTGTCAGTTTCCATTTTGTTGCTTTTGCAGTCTTGTCCTATGTCATGCACTGGCTTTCAGTTTTTCAGCTTCTCCTAGAAAGCTTAATGCATACAGCAGACAGTCAAATGAAGGACAGAGAGGGTGAGGGTGTACTACAATAATGTAGTTCATTTTCTTTCTTACAGAAAAGGGTCAGGACATCCTAATTGGAAAGGTAGAACTGGATGGTGAACAACAAAATACGCCGTAAAACACAGGTGCTGTCCTCTAATCCCTTCCCTTTCTTCAGTCATCTCTCCCGTCTTCTTGCTTCTCACCTTTCCTGTGCCAGGGACAGAGATGGAAACAAAGGTGAAGTACAAGCCTTTGACTGCTTTACTGCTTGTCTTGTGTTCTTTAAAAGCTCTTTCTTTAATTTTATAAGCTGGCAATGAGAGGAGGAGAAGCTAACTTGACAAGAAGTTTGCTGTTTGTTTTTTCAGATACTTGTAACAAAAATTTACGCTGAGGCTGAGCTGCATATGACCTGAATGTATGCCACTTCTGCCTCCCCAGGTAGGAAGGAAGAGGTTGTCCAGCAAATTCTTAATAACTTCTTTCTATGGGGTTTTATAACTGCTGTTTTCTCTGCCATCAAGGACTTCCACTCTAAACACCTGAATGTGGGATTAGTACTACTGCCTTGAATGGCCATTTCTGCTGAACTCATTACTAATCTTAAAAGCTTCCTTCCCTATAGCCAGTGGGAAATGTGGCACACTGCTGAGAAGAGAACCTGGAGGGATACATGAAACAGATTCTGAGTGTTTGAGGTGAAGGAAGCCAGTTGGAGAATGAAGGATACCTATTATGGCGGGAGTAACTATGACTCTCTTAACATGGGACCATAGTTGCTGGCCTGGCTCTGCTGCAGAGGCTAGACCTCTTCATGGTCCTGCTGGATGCGCTTTGGTGTAACCAAGATAGCCTCTGCCCCAGTGTATTTGGAGTTATAATTGCTTCCTCCCTATCGACTGGCTTCACCGACCACTCGACAGTTTTTCTTTAGGTGAAACCAAATTTTGGCAATAGATCCTATGGCTCATTGTGTAAAGCCTGTGCACGTGGTTGCAGTTGGGCAAAGTCAGGCAGTTGTTTGAGGGTGGGCTGTCTGGCTTGTGTTTGCCCTCGCATTGTGTATGACATTATGATCCATCTGATACAGGTTGCTTTCATATCGGTATCCACATAAACAAATCCACTGGACTTGTGCGATTACGTGGTCCTTAGGAATATCAGGGTCTGCAAAAGACTGGTGGAAGAGGAGATGGATCTCTTTGGACTGGAGTTTATAAGCTCAGGCTTTTGTGGTTTGGAATGGTGTTATCCTTCTACCGGGAGTGACTATCCGGACAGGTTACCAGAGGTGTACGAGATGACCACCTCTCCAACTCATTGGGCACTGATAACAGCCCATGCGCAACTGGTGTGGAAAGGGAGAAGGGTGAGGAACCCCTGCCCTCCACAACTGTGGCCCAACTTCCACCAATGCCATCAATGCCTATCCTGGCTACTGGAGGAGATCATTCAGCCGATGGCACTCTGGTTGTGAAGGTCCCAAACAAAAATCCATCATGTCCTTGTGGGAACCGGATAGGAAAAATTTTAGGACAAATCGAACATCTAAAGAGAGCTCATGGAAGGAAAAAGATCCTGTTCCAGTGCTCCTGTTGTGGGAGAACAAATGTGAAATGTCGTAGTATTGCCAGCCACTTCCCACAGTGCAGGGGGCTGTGGAATCTGCACCGGTAGAGGGCTGGACCTGTGGGGAGCGTGATCATGTGTTTGAATCTAAGAATGTGGAATGGACTTTAGTCTCTGCCTGAAAACAGGTACAGCAAGGGGGCTACATCGGTAGTGCTGGACAGAGGAGGAGATTCACTTACTCTGAAAGCTTGAAAAACAGTATGAGTGGCGTAAAAATATCAATAAGTGATTGCAGAACACTTGCCGTCTAAAACAGCCAAACAGGTAAGTGACAAGCAGAGAGGACTTCATAAAAGTCCAGTGAAGAAAAAGGTGAAAGATCTGGATTGGAAGAAACTTCTATGGGAAGAAGGAGAACATCAAGACAATGGGTCGCATGGAATTTCAGCCCACCTTCTCCATTGCAGAAAGGTTATCTCCGAATGGTTGACATCTGACAAACTTCCCATTCTTCAAGGGATTTACAGGAAGGTGACTGAAGGTGAGGAAGACCCAGCATTACTGATTGCTGATGTTTCTGAATTCTGCTATGCATGCCTGTTTGCTAAATCCACCATGGCAAAGACTGGCCTAATGCAGAACGCTAGGAAGCATGCCCTTTGGGTCCACAAAAAAGGTGGATGAAGAAGAGAGCAGTGTGATGGGGACGATTCTTATGCTTCCAGTGGCTGTTCCGCCTGGATAGAGGGAAACTAGCTGGTATTATCCTGGATGACGTGGAATCCCTGAGGTGTGGTCTCCCATTGGATGAAGTGCACACTGTCTTCAAGTTGAGATGGGAGTCGCCAGGAACATTCAAAGGCCTGGGAGCTTTCAAGACTATCACTTTTGTAGACAATTTGGCATTTGAAGCCATGATGACAGCAAAAGAGATCTCTAAGAACATCAGAGACATGAGTGAAAATTCAGCACTGGGCCCAGACCATCTGAGTCTGAGGGACCTAATGAAGACACATCTCCAGCACGTCCAACTAATGGAACTTTTTAATCTATGGCTAGTGCCTGGTGTCATGCTGGACATGATGAGATAATGCCAGGCAGTATTAATATCAAAATCTGTGTTGCCTAAACGACAGAGCAACATCATTAATTGGCAGCCAACGTTGGTCAACCATTTTGAGGCTGTTTTCAAGGATCTTAACAGCCCAGTTCATTAAGGCATGTCCTGTAAATCCACAGCAGAGGGGCTTTATTATCTTATCTGGTTGCTCCAAAAATGTAAAACTACTACAACTACTTATTCAATGTGCTAAGAGGGAACACCAGCCCCTCAGGGCAGTCTTTGTTGATTTGACTAAAGTCTTCGACACTGTGAGCCACTTTCACGTTATAATGGCTCTAAAACAGAAGGGCATTGATGACCATTTTGTTGCCCTGATTAAAATTCTTTATGATAATCTTACTACCCAGATAGATCTGAAGAATGAGCAGTTGGACCCCTTCAAGTTCTGGCTTGGAGTGAAGCAAGGTGACCCAGTGTATCCAGTTTTATTCAATCTGTCAGTGCTCTACTGTGCAAGCTGGAGGAGGAAGGCAATGGGTTCCAGCGCTGAATGAAAAAGATAACAACTTTAGCCTTTGCAGATGACTTGGTGCTACTGAGTGAATCTTGCAGTGGAAGTCAGAACATCATCGAAATTCTTAGTCTTCTGTGAACTGATGAACCTCAAAAGTCAGAGGGAGAAGTGCCATGGCTTCCACATCAAGCCAATGAAAGACTCTTACACAATCGAGTGACTGTCCTGCTTGGACAATTAATGGCACACCCCTTAATATGATTGACCCAGACAGCTCAGAGAAATACCTGGTCCTGTATGGTCCTGGTCCTGGTCCTGGTCCAATACCTTTGATATCCCATGGGTTGGGATATCAAAACCTGAACTGTTGGAAAAACTAAATGAGTGGCTGAGGCTGATCAGACAGGCTTCACTGAAGCCCCTTCATAAGGTAGACATCTTGAAAGCATTTACTATCCTTGGATGGATTTATCTAGCTGACCACGCCAATGTGAAGGCCACATAACTCCAAGAGCTTGACTTGTATAAACCTAATTTGACTGTAAAATAAAATATATTTGCAGGTTGTCATGATCAGTTGCCTTCTACGATGGAGTGACTGCATCAGTAGACAAGGGAAGAGCTACGGATGTCATCTACCTAGGCTTCTTTAAGGCCTTTGATATGATCCCCCCCCAACATTCTTGCTGCTAAACTGGAGGAATACGTGTTTGATGGATGGACTGTTAGATGGATAAGGAATTGACTGGATGGCTGTATCCAGAGTTACAGTCAATGGCTCAATGTCCACGTAGAAACCAGTAATGAGTGGTGTCCCTCAAGGGTCTGTACTGGGACAAATACTTTTTAATATCTTCATTAACAACATAGTGGGATCGAGTGCACCCTCAGCAAGTTTGCAGATGACACCAAGCTGAGCGGTGCAGTTGATTAACGAGAGGGAAGGGATGCCATCCAGAGGAACCTTGACAGGCTTGAGGAGTGTGCCCATGCGAACCTCATGAAGTTCAACAAGGCCAAGTGCAAGGTCCTGCACCTGGGCTGGGGCAATCCAACTCAAACCATTCTATGATTCTGTGATCAGGGAATTGGAGGCCTGTTGGAAGGAAGGGAGGGAGGTGGAAGGGATAGTAGGTAGGAACTAAAAGGGATTTGGTAATCATGACATGTCATCCTACCTGCTGACAAAATCAACTGGCTGTACCTAGGTGGATGGGTCACCTTGCTTAACCCAGAAAAGGAACATGAAAATTTTATGTGTTCAATAAATAGCCGCTTCCTATCAGGCTTTTACAGTGTCTTCAAAAAATTAATGGTGCTTCTGTGTTTATTCTGAAAGTTATTAAATAATAATTCTAAATTATTAGCGCAATTGTGCCCATATTAAAAAGAAGTAATTTGATTGAGATTTGATAAGAAAATCAGCTTTGTTAAGGCTCTGTGAATAATTGCCCCAAGTGATTTATCCCACTTTAATAGTACGGCAGCAAACATATCTGCAATGTGTATTCTCATTATTAAAGACTCTCAGTACAAATATTTAAATATCTAATAATTGGAGACTTGACATTTATTAGAATGTAGATTTGGGGAGGGCTTAATAATGCTTTTAATATAATTTGACAGCATTAAAAAAATGTGCATTAATTCCATTATTGGAATGCCTTAAAGGAAAATTACAGAGAGATGCAACTTGGATTTGTACTTTTCTTCCACCTTCTTCTGAGTCTGAACTGTGCTGTGGTTAGCATTTGCTCAAGTATTTGGAACATAAAAGGGATATTGAATCTTAATATATTTTTTCCCTTACCAATGCAGGGAAAACCCATATAACGTCATTTGGATAGTAATGATTTTTGTAAGTATTCATGATCTGTGTTTAGAAATAGAGTTAATGTTAAATGTGCCTAACAGATAGGTGGATACGTAAACAAAGAGACTCTTTGATCTGGAAAAACTCATAGCAGAATCATAGAAGCTGATGTTTAGGATAAAATCCTTCTGCTTGTTCTTCTGTTTTTCTGCTTCCATATAGAGAGGATAGTGGGCTGATACAGAGTCCCTAAAGAACCTAAGGATTGATTTTCATGATATTTGCACAGCCTGTATAAAGCAGGAGTAGTAAGGCATCTACTTATTTTTCCAAGCTGCCAGGAAGAGTTTGAGATGGAGGGCTTGTGCCTACATCTGCACTTTCTCCCTAAGTAGCAATGGGAGAATGGAGAAGGCCTAAAAGAAGAAACCTTTCTATTCTTGTTGCCCCTAGCATTGTTGGGTCAATATTGCAAATTATGTACATCTTTTCTTCCCTGGCAGCACTTCTTATCCATGTCTTCTCCTTCAGTGACAGTATCAGGAGACGCACAGAGCAGGATAAGGAAAAGATGACATCCATATCTCACTGCTGCCTATGTTGCTTACGCATTGAACCAACTCTGATTATTACTTCTTGAAGAGACTTTCGCTTGGTTACCTGAGGTACATTAGCACTTACTTTCTTTTCAGTTGTCACATATCCTTGCAGCTTAATGACTAATGGCTGCTCATATAGGCTGGTCCCAAACTGGACCAGATAAAACCACATCAGGGTATTTATGCTATTTTTTCCCATTTAATGTTAAAGATGGAGTTCTCTTAGCCTGCTGCTCTTTGGAAGAGTACATATTGACAAATGACACTCTTTTAATGCTTTCTGACAATAACAGTGCTTTTTGCCAATTTCTGCTGCCAATAATAATGACTGTTAAATCAAACAACTAATGAATGTCTCCAAATGACCTTTTAGCAACTACTGTCAACATTAACTACTCTACAGCATTTTCACCTTCCCATGTAATTGGCAGTGTTTAATTTTGAGTGCATAAAGGTAACTGACGTAACTGAGAAGTGTATATACGTAGTTTGAATGATACTGCTACTGCAACAGCTGGTCTAGTTCTGCAACTCATGACAAATACTTGGGGTTATATTGACAGATGACTTCTAGGGACAGGAGAAGTGCTTGCCTGTGTGCAAATTTTTCACATAAAAGGCAACTAAAAAGCACAAAAGAGTTGTTCTTCATGGTTTCATGTTAGTACAAATGCTCCTGCAAGGCCCGGTGGCAGCATTAGTTTCTAAGGGAGGCACAGAACGTGTGTGAGCAGTTATGGCTGCTCTGAGCTTCATACAAGGTTTAGTCAGTCTGCATCTCATTCTTGAATTTACCATTTCTTTTAAAATACTTTAGGACTCTATCCAGCATATGTTAAGATGAAAAAGGGCGAGTCACAGTCAGTGCTGTTTCTCTACATGCATAGCAGAGAAGAAGAAATTTCTTGCCGTGTCCTAAATTCCTCACTGACCAGTCAACATCGACTGTGTGTGAGCATTAGGGAATGAGCTTTAGAGACTACTGGATCACACGAAGATAACGTTGTTCAAGATCCCTTGAAACAACCACAAGCATACACCTTCCTAGAAAAGACAAAGACAAATAAGCTGAAGGGACTGAAGCTGGAATTGGGGAGTTAAAATTCCAGCAGAAAGACAGACTTCCTGTAGAGCCAGTTAACCCTTTGGATACCACAGCTCTCTGTAACATAAGTACTACTTCTTTATCACCTTAGTTTTCTGTCCTGTGTACAGTGTGACCCCACTTTGTTCCCAAGCACCTATATGTAGCTTCCAACTCAAAATGAAAATGTGGTACAAACATTTGAAGGTAAACAATAAGCTCCCTTGGATTTGAAGGAAAACAAACATCTTATCCTATTGTCTAGATCCTGCTCTCTTGAGGCTGATGTCAGAAACCCGCTGTTTTTACTACTCTACGTGTGTAATTAAAACTTAATGTCTGTGAAAAAGTGTGGTCAGATAATTAAAACTTAATGAACAAAACAAACGCTAGCAATGGGGGTGTTGCAAAATAGGGTGCTCTATATGAAACTGTGGCAGTGGGAATCGGAAAATATATTTCATTGCTGAAGTATAAATATATGCATATAAATAATTCTCATTAACTTGTTTTTCTTAAGTATTTTAATTATAAACAAGTGTTTCTTGTTAAATATTTTAAACTATAGGTTCTTTTTACATGGTAAATAATAATGTATAACTCTTCTTTAAATATTGTATTACTTCATTAGAAATGTATCCTAGACACTAGACAGTGTCACAACTCTCACCGGTGCATTTGATTAGCAATGTTCCAATAATATTTAAAATCAAAAGTTGAGGCAAAAAGAAGCCACAATAAGTGTGTGTGTTAATTTCACGGCTACTTGAAAGTATTTCTGCTGCAGGTCCTGCAGCAAAAAGCAATGCTGAATTGCTGCTTGTTTCAAGATAGTGTTTTGGAGAATTACACCTACGAATGGCAGCAAAATCAACAACCTAGAGGATACCTGGACAAGGTACCGTGCAGAAATCAAACATGGCCATTACGAAGTGGTTCGTGCTACTCTGAACAAATAATTTCACATGGAAAATACAACATTTTGATCCATTTGCGGAACGCTTGAAAGTCAGCTGCGTTGTTTCAAGCAGAATGAATTCAGATTCCTTCTGGCATGAATAGAGCTGAAATGTAGGAGTCATCTTGCTATATTATGGTAAGTGTTCAACACAGCAGACAAATAGGAATAACTTATTTCAAGAGAAAACTTAGACACAAGAAAATAGCAGGACTCTGGCCACAATTGAAACGTCACAGGAACAGACTACTGAAGAAAAACATTTGTAACGTGTTGAATATTTGAAGGAGGTAGTTGAAGGAGGTCCTAAAGAAAGTGTTGAAGCATTTTAGCAAGTTCTCGAAATCTGGACTAATTAAGAGATACAGTATCAATTATTTAGGTATTTGTGCAACTGACGATCTCTTCACATAGTTAATAAAACTATTCAGATATCAAAAGTTAAACATGTATATAAATGTTTTCAGAGTAGAACTAAAGTGATCTATATTAAGCAG